CAAGGAGGGAGAAGCAGCACCGCAGCCACTGGGGGTGCAGCGGAGGAGTGGGCTTTGCGTGACAGGGATTACTGCTGTCGCCTCTGTGAAACACTAAAACCGCCTAAAAGCAGAGGGCCCGTCGCCTGTGCTGGGCCTGGGGTTGAGTGTCGCAGCCCAGAAGTGGTTCTGCTGGGACAGAGCACCCTCCAGCAGTGCTGAGCCTGGCTCAGAGGTGGCCTGTCCCGCCGGCAGGCCTGCAGACTTTTCCACCAGCCCGAGCCCGCCGTGTGCTCTGCCCTTGTCACAGGGAACATGACTGCCACCCTTTCCCACAGCCGCTGCTGGGCCTCTGGTCCTGCTCACAGTCACGGGACACACCGGGCTGCCCACGGGATGGCTCTGGTCCAGGCTGTAGGGCCGCCTCTGCAGGACATCAGGATCCCATTGTCCGTGGTGGACCCACAAGGCAGAAGAGTATCTGTGCCATGTTCCACCTCAAAAACACTTTCCGTAGGCCGGGAAGGCTCATGCAGCATCCCACCCTTTCATGGGAGGACACGTGGGAGCTGTTTTGCACAGTGTGAGCATAACTAATGCTCTGGAGCTGGGGGACTTCGTGTCTCCTGTCATCTGCCAGCTCAAGAGCCTATGGGGCCTCCTAACCCCCTGTGCTCGCTGCCAGGGGTGCAGGGTGCGTGTTCACCCCCATCCAAGGAGGTGGCTGCAGCGACCCATGCTCTGCTCCTCCTGCGGACAGAGGAGCCGCCGGGAGCCTCGAGTGTGTCCCAGGACAGGGACGGATACAGGTTGCTCGCCCTTTTATCACCCCTGCCTCTGGGACGGCCTCAGGAGTGGGAAGAGGGACACAGAGGGGCACAAAGGGGAGGGAAGAGCCCAGCCATGCCTCGGCGTCCTCCCTGGGGTGGACAAGGAAATGCTGCTTGTTCCTCCACAGCTGGAGCAAGGTGGCCAGGTGAACACCTCAGTCTCTGCTCCTAGCCTGGGAGGGGATTTCTCAAGTCCCATGAAAGGGAGGAGAGGAGGTGCTGAGCATTTCTCCCCTCCTGACGACTGGCGCTCTTGGTGAAGCAGGCAAAGCGAGGGCAGCCCTTCCATCTCCCTTTGCACCAGGGCTGTACAGGCACCAGGTGAGCTTAGATGAGGGGAGCGAGTCCTGTCCCTGAGCCAACATCGAAGATTTGGACTTCTTCAGTACTCAGGACATTGCCTGACCTGATGATGGCGAGGGGAAGTCCTCTGATACCAGCACCTTGGGATTTTGTTAATTTCTCTTCACCCTGGCTCTGTGTCTTTCCGTTGATGTCTCTGCCCTGGTTAGCCCACTTGGCAGGAAAGCAATATTTCCACTGCTGATGCCCCTCCCTACTTGCAGGCTCCCCGTCAGAGCATCTGCTTGCACCTCAGCCTTGGCTGAGCTCTCAGCTTTGCTTCAGATGCCCACTCAATAAACTCCCCCTCTCCCTACTCTGCTGTCTCAGCGTGGTTGGGGCACGACACAAAATATTACACAGCAGTGGGGAAGTCCAGACAGCTCGCCATGTCCTAGGGCTGATCACGTCTCTTCTGTAGGGTTGCGGAGGTCTTCCCTGAAGGTGCTTCCCATGGGGCATCTTCCAGGGATGGGACCAAGGACATGGGGGCCAACGTGGACCTGCAGGCAGATTACCAGGCTGGGGACGGATTTAAAAACATGAGGCAACAGGAGTCAGGCTCTGAAATCAGCAGTCAGGCCCCTCGATCGGCATCTGGATCCATCCACTCCTGGTGAATTGAAGCTTTCCAAGTGACAGCTCCAGTCCTTGTAATTCCAAAAGATTTCAAGGGACAGGGGGAGGAAACATCTCTATTTTTCTTCTACTTTTATGAGCATATGATAGCACTTTGATATGAAATTACTTGTTTTGCTGTATCCCTTGGTATTTACGGCCAGGGTCCAAGCCACCCGAGGTCAGTGGAAAGACTGCCACTAACCTCAGCAGCCGCTGGCCCAGACCCATCATCAGGGACTTTCTTTCTTGGTTTGCGTCCATTTTGCATGCAGCAAAAACAGAGGAAAAAAGCCACCCTCACACATCAAACCAGATGAAAATCCATCTGCGAAGCCACAGAAAATATCGGGGGATGATACCGCATTTGAAAACCTTGTAGGTTTAAAATCTACGGTGTCATTTAGACTCCTATTCTTCTGCAGCTCTTGAAATTTCCGCCCACTTTGGTTGTTTGTAAGAACAGCTAATATCTCCGGGCAATCGGGCTGGGATTATTATAATTGTTGTTCATGTGTGCGGAGTGACTGACGCAGATGTTTTTACAATGGATGCTTTATAAAATGACAAAATACTTTCAGACTAAGTAGGCAGCATCGTTTGCATGAAGGGCGGCTTCCAAAAAACCCCCCATCAATCTTCCCCTTCAGAAGCCTCGCTGTCTGTGTGCCCCGCTCCTCCCGAGAGGCGTCAGTGAGCCGTGAAAACGCCCCTTCTCACATGCAAGGCCACAATAGATTTTGAAAATCCAAAACAAGGCCCGGCGTAGGGCTCTGAACTAATGAACCCCAGTGCCGCCCTGTCAGGAAGAGCTGCTCTGCAGACAGCACGCTCCCCAGTCATTCACCTTGCGTGCTTCAGCGCCATAGCGAGGGTGACCGCGAGCGGCACAGAGCTCTTTCCTCAAACCGTGGCTTGCTCAAACCAGCAGAAGCGAGGGCGCAGGCCAGGCCAGGCCAGGCCAGGCCGGTACGTCCCCCTGCTTGCCTCCTTGCACCCTTGCTCTGCGGGGCGGTGGCGAGGAGGCCACGGGCCAGCCGGCAGCAGGGCTTCCCTCCCGCAGCCTGCCACCCCGCGCGCTCCAGAGCCCAGGGGCTGCGGTCGGCAAAACCCCAGGTGGAACGCCATTTTTGCAGTAGCCCGTGAGCTTTTGCCTCCAGCCTTCTGGCCAGTGCAGAGGCAGCACGGCTGGAGGAGGGCTGAGGGAAACGACCAGGGGCGCACCGGGAAGGCCCCGGGCGCCGGCGCCCAGCCCGCACCCCCACGGCGCCCGGGCCCCTCT